CTGTAATGTATAAATTAAATATATAAAAATCTATTCATTTTATCAGATTTGTCAAGAGGTTCTTGAAAACAATGATTTAAAATTGCCCAAGATTGCAATCGTGTATTTTAGAAAATTCTAAAGATGCTATTGGCGCTTTATCTTTAAATTAAAATATCCTTTTTAGCATGATAATTAAAGAATTAAACATATCAAATGTGTTAAATAAGAAGTTAAATAGTTAATGAATAAATAGTGCCGCTCAAATAGAAAAACAGAGTTCTGATGAACATAGGTTAACATATGTATATTCACAATTATAAGTAATTTCTTATTTAAGTATACATAAATTACTCATATTTATCTAGAATCAGAGAATAGGTAGAATCAGTAGAAAATGATTCCTTCGATCATTTAATTTTATTTCTTTACATTTTCTCTTATGAGCGTTTTTTTAACGCGTGGCATATTTTTTACCGACTAATGATGCGTATGAATTACGTAGACGAATAGAAAATGTTTGTAAGTGAAGTGATTCCATATATTCTTATTTGAAGTCTATACATATGCATAAATAATAGACTAAAATATGCTTGTACCACTAATAGCGTTCGTTAATTGTATCATTTTTACATTGCATATGTTATCGCCATTACTACAACCTACGAATTAGAATCTTATCGACTGTAATTAAAATAATTCAACAAAACAAGGAATTAAAGTAGCATTTTCGCAAGAATGATAAAAGGTAAGTCCAGCAGTTATAATACAATTGATCTTTTAGTATATTCGAAACCTAATTGTTTGAAAGTTTTAGTGCAGATAAAATAATTTTAAGAAAAAAAATACACCGACTTCGAAATGTACTAAAAAATATAAAATAATTTCTATTTCCTAACGAAGTAATTTCTATTTCATTCAATCATACAATTACGTAACAGATATGAATGAAACCTATTTACCCGTTAGGTAGTATATTAAATACATTTCAACCTTTTCGGAGGCGGCGCAAAATTAAGCATAAAAAAAAACATCTAATCAGAAACTGATATAGCCATCTTAAAGGGTGCATTCTCCGCTTTCTGGAACCGTATTTATAATTTCTTTTCGATAGTGGGTTCATGAGATAATGACTATCAAAGGAAAAAGCGTCATTTCGGCTTTGGTAGCTCATAACTTTGCGACCGATCATCGAAACGAACTTCATTGACGTGCAAATTATAGGGGAAGGAACAAGGAACAGCATTCTGGAAGTGGCATTAATCAAAAAAATTTTTCCATGTCTTTACAAGCTTTAAAAAAAAGAAAAAAAATTCTAAAATTTTTTCATCGCGATTTTTGTATATTTTGTTAATGATAATGAGCTCAAAAAATTTTTGAGATAAAATGTCGAAAACTAGAGACCTGAAGCTTCAAAATGACTATTCTGGATGTCTTCTGTGATGAATTTCAACGGAGGCAGAGCAATTTGAAAATGACCTAAAAATTTAAGGAATTTTTCTGTTCCCTTAATTTTTTTGACTAGTGTATTTACTTGGGTACCACATTTTTTCAAGGATACTCGAATGCAGTTAATATGTCAAGCATCTCACTTTGACATATCATCTGAATCAAATATATTTATCTTCTAAATATCCTGTGAATTTCCTAAAGTTTGCTCAAAGAGTTATTCTTAAAAATTGTGTTATAGAAATTTCTTTGGAGAAATACTATACGATCCGTGTAATATGTTGCGACTTTATCACAAACAATGTGGTCAATAATCTCCCAATTAATAAATAAATGTGGTATATAGGTATAAATGATATTACACTGTATAATAATATGGGAATAATATACGTATGCATATATCAATACATATGCATCTGCGTATTTCCTAATCTTCATAATTACCTTAATAACATTTTTTTGCCTCTGATTTATCTTATTGTAAAAATAAATTATACAAATAATATCACGCAAGTATGTAATACGCAAAATAAAGCTTTTAGTCCACAATAGTTTGTATGTATTTAAGTTTTGGTGGAGTTAAAAACTGCACGGGTTTTCAGTTACGCTGGGTGTCAGGAGTTTGTTAGGACATAGTAATCTACAAATTTGGAGATATGAGAATTTGTGCATCTAGAAATTTGACGATTTAGTCATTTAGAAATTAGGGGATATATGGATTGGTGAATGTAGGCATTTGGAATCATATAAATTTAGGAAGTTAGAAATTTAGGAATATAGGAGTTTGGAGATACAGATATTTGGGTACTTTGGTGTTTGAGTATCTAGGAATATGGGAACTCCGATTTACAGGTGTTAAAAATTTGGGGACTGTGGGATTTCTGTGATGGGGAAATTTGAAAATTTAGATATACACAAACCTAGTTTGTAGATTTTTCAATTTTTAAATTTGAGAACGTGAAAATTCGAGAATTTGAAAATTTAGAAATTCGGGAAATTGAAAATTTGGAAACTCGAGAAGTTGAACATTTGAGAATTAAAAAGTTGTAATCAAAAGTGTCCTTATCCAAAGGAAGGTTACGTTTCCTTTAGGTGTACCTAATTTTCGTCTTCTTCGAGAATCAACTATACTCATTAAATTGAGCAACTTTTCATACGTTTTGAAATCTTTAAATAGTTAGTATGTTCAATGGAGAAATGTTTTTAGAGTTGTAATATTGGAACTATGTTTATAATTTTAGAATTATAATGCTGTTCTATAATTATTCACAATGCAGAACTCTTTGTAACCATCTATTTCGTTTCTAAAAGTTGAAGAGAAGTATCACCGATGTGTCTAGAAAGTCTATTAATTATTATTATCTTCGAATATTACTAGTTCCGATCAAATCCAGAAATATCTCGTCGCAATACACGAAATGTCACGGTGGTTAATTGTGTTTCCATTTCTGTGTTGCTAACAAATCTATCTTTCGAGAATTGGTAAGTAACGTCCACGGCGAACTTGACGATTTTCAATAATTAATTGTCCTACCAATCTCCCTTTTATTTCATCTGTTGTTTTCACAACGCAGAAGAACCAGCATTTTTTGTCTGATCGTAAGAAACCAATGAACACATGTCTATTATTAAGTGCAATCATGTGGACTGTGATCGCTTTGTTATTTATCCAGATTATAATCTAGTATATATGTCATAAATTTGTTCAAAACTACTGTTACGTTACAATAGCATTTTGTCAAAACATCCATTATTTTATTAAAGTTATATATATATATATATCGATCTGTTTACTACTAACAATAAGAGAATGATATCATAAATTTCGTTTTATTTCTTTAGCAGTTACAGAAACTGGTAAGTTTAATTTGTAGTGTAGCATGTAGAATAATATTAAATAGATGTAGTTAGAAAAGTAAGAGAAACGCCGAGTACATAAAACACTTGCGTTCGGAGTTAGGCTTCGCTGATTGGGCGGGCCTAGTCTCTAGTTTTTGTATAAAAGACGAATATTTTTCACAAAAAGGGAGAATTACCAAGCCTTCCTAAGAGAGAAGACAACACCTCGAGCTGCTCGGCACTCTCTTAGTCTAGGCCAGGGGTCGGCAACCTGCGGCTCGCGAGCCACATGCGGCTCTTTGGATGTGAAGCTGCGGCTCTTTGGATGTGAAGCTGCGGCTCTTTAGTTCCATACGTAAATATTATTTATTTTATCAAAAAAAAAAAAATTTTAGAATCGTTCTGAATCGATTAACGTGGATTAGACACCGATTCTATCTCTCAGCCACTTGTACCCGCTTTTCACCGCACCCCTCCCCGTGATACGCGTCGTCCCTGTCGTCAGTCCGTCGGAAGCTCTCGAATGACGCCGTCATCGGATGTTTCTATGTAGGTTTTAATTCGCTTTCGACACAAGACAATTTGGCATCTTCACCAGTGCTTTGGCTGTGACGTATAGTTTGTTGTTTCAAGTAAAAGAGTTAGAAGCGAATTATCTTCTCAAAGTTATGTGTATATATAATAATAAGAAAACCGAAGTAAAGGTAGATAACATAATAAGTATTAAATTTTTAAAATACATATTATACATATTTTTTTCCAAATAAGATACCTAACTACTTTTTTGAAGTCAATAAGAATTGTCAAAAAAGAAACAAAGTACTACTGTTGGATATTACTGCGAAAGTGTTTTTATTCAAATATATATTTAATAAATTACCTATTTTATTATTTATCTATTTTATAGCTTTTATTATTTAAACATTAGCGTTAATGTTATATACGCGATTGGGAAAGTAGTCCCACAAGCGGACTGCACGACGCGGTCACGAAAATCGCCGGGGACACCCGAACAGTACGGAGCGAAACCGCGTGAAAATTCGATTGTCATTTGTTTTATACCGCGTCTTCCCGCTCGGCAATGCATTGGCGTCATTCTGCGTTTATTGGTTTCATTGGTTTCAGTGTTCTTTGGTTTCCTCCGCCCAAACACAATAGTTAAAATAATAATTATAAGGGTAAGTACCTATAAATTGTTATTTAATAAACCTATTTTCGAACTCTGAGGATCAAAGTAAGTAGGTATTTGCAGTTTTAGATTGTTTATATGTTTGACAATTTTCATTGATTTCGGCATAGCTGGGCATAACACCTTTACTCGTAAACTAAGTATCTAATATTTGCCAAAATTAAAAAAGAAAAACTAAAATATGCAGACTGTGCCGTGATAAATACATTCTGACAAGTCCGTTCGAGCCAGTCGGAGATCACCGCACACGTGCAGTACAATCAGTACGTGAGAGAGTGAGACAAACAATGTTTCGTGTCTAAATTATTTATTTTAATAATTAAATTATTAGAGAATTATTTATTTTATATAGGTAAGTATTTTTAATTGGGAAATATCGTTGTAAAATGTTTTTTGATAAATTATATTTCATTATGTCCAGCTTCTCGTATGTATTTACTTAGGTATACGTTGACATAATAAATAATTGCAAAACTTGTCATCTGCTGTTTTGGATACCTAAATCATAATTTAAAAAATTCTTTATTAGAGCTTCACCGCAAGCATGGCATCTACAAAAAAAAAGAGAAGAACTGATGAAGAGCATCGAGAATTCAATCGGGATTGGACGAATTCGTTCGCTTTCATATGCAACTCAGATGGCCTTCCGAATTGTCTCATTTGCCACGAAAAACTCGCACACAATAAGAAATCAAATTTAGAGAGACATTTCACTACAAAACATACTCAGTTTGCTAGTAAATATCCAGCCGGCGAAGAACGAAAAAAAGCTGTCGACGAGCTCCAAAAACAAAAACAGCAATCAAGTTCCATGTTAAGTAACTGGACGCAATCTACAAATAATGTTAATCTGGCAAGTTTCGCGGTATCACTAGAAATTGCAAAAAAAGGCAAACCATTCACAGATAGTGAGTATGTCAAAGATTGCTTCATACGTGCATCTGAAGAACTGTTTCGTGATTTCAAAAACAAACCAGAAATCTTGAAAAAAATCAAAGATTTGTCACTATCCGCTAAAACAGTACAAGATAGATTAGCTAAAATGTCTTCAAATGTAATATATTTGCAGGTAGAAGATATTCAACTTTCTTCTGCCTTATCACTTGCTATAGATGAGTCTTGCGATATAAAAGAAGAACTTCTAGGATTGCTACCGCTCTCGGGACAAACTAGAGGGGAAGATATAGCGAATGCCGTGCAAAAATGCCTTCAAGACAATAAGATCGATTTAAATAAAATCGTTTCAATAGCAACTGATGGAGCCAGAAGTATGACAGGAAAAAATAAAGGTGCAACAACGATTCTTCAGAGCAATATAAACCACGAAATTTTTACGTTTCACTGCATAATACACCAAGAAGCGCTTTGTGCCAAAACATTTCCGGCCGAAATAGTTGAGGTCATGAATTTGATAATCAAGATTGTTAACAGCATCTTGTCAAAAACACTCTACCATCGTCAGTTTAAAGAATTCTTAAACGAAATGGAGACTCAGTATTCCGACCTCCTTGTTCACAATAAAGTGCGAAATAAATACATTCCTAAATGAAAAAGGTATTAATTACCCTGAATTAGAGAACGACAAATGGTTGCAAAAATTTTACTTAATGGTGGATATCACAGCAAAATTGAATGAGCTGAATCTAAAACTGTAAGGAAAGGGAAACCCAGCCTATATTTTGGTAGAAGAATTGGTTTGTTTTGGAGAAAAATTAATTCTTTTTGCAGAAGATATTCAGAGCGGTAAATTACTTCATTTTCAATTTCTAAAGCAATATCGCGATAAAACCAGTGCAACTGTTGACACGAATTACTTCAGCACAGTTATAAAAAAAATTAAAGATGAATTTGCTGACAGATTTGAGCAATTCAAAACCAACAAAACCACTCTAGCATTCATAGTAAATCCTCTCAACACAAATAGTAACGAAATCCACATTGAGCCATTTGGAACTGATACTGCATCTCTAGAAATGCAATTGATCGATTTAAAAAGTAAAGCTTTGTGGAGTGGAAAATTTACAGAGTTGAAAAGCAAGTTGGAAGAGTTGGAGGTCCAGAAATGTATGTACGTAATGCAACAAAAGTGGACAACTTTAAAAGAACTGCCGCGAGTTGAGGCACTTATATTCGACGCATGGAATAGTCTTCCAGATTGCTACAGTGAGGTGAAGAAGTTGGCATTTGAATGGTGGATATCACAGCAAAATTGAATGAGCCGAATCTAAAACTGTAAGGAAAGGGAAACCCAGCCTATGTTTTGGTAGAAGAATTGGTTTGTTTTGGAGAAAAATTAATTCTTTTTGCAGAAGATATTCAGAGCGGTAAATTACTTCATTTTCAATTTCTAAAGCAATATCGCGATAAAACCAGTGCAACTGTTGACACGAATTACTTCAGCACAGTTATAAAAAAAATTAAAGATGAATTTGCTGACAGATTTGAGCAATTCAAAACCAACAAAACCACTCTAGCATTCATAGTAAATCCTCTCAACACAAATAGTAACGAAATCCACATTGAGCCATTTGGAATTGATACTGCATCTCTAGAAATGCAATTGATCGATTTAAAAAGTAAAGCTTTGTGGAGTGGAAAATTTACAGAGTTGAAAAGCAAGTTGGAAGAGTTGGAGGTCCACAAATGTATGTACGTAACGCAACAAAAGTGGACAACTTTAAAAGAAATGCCGCGAATTGAGGCACTTATATTCGACGCATGGAATAGTCTTCCAGATTGCTACAGTGAGGTGAAGAAGTTGGCATTTGGAGTGCTGACTATCTTCGGATCGACATATTCGTGCGAGCAAGCGTTCTCTTGCATGAATATAATTAAAAGTAAAATAAGAAGCCAACTAACAAATGAAAATTTAGAGTCGTGTTTGAAACTTAAAACAACAAGTTATGAGCCAAATTTATCCAAACTTTCTAAAAACATGCAAAGCCAACGCTCCCATTGAATTTGTTTGCTCAAATGTATGTTATTGAAGTACAAGTTAGTGTTGTAAGTAAATGTTTAATTGTTTTAATTTTTTCCTTAAATAATAAGTAATTATCTAATAATGCCATATATATATTATCTAATTTGTTGTGAAAAACACTACTTATATATGAATACATAGATATTTTTCCTTATGAATAAATAGATTGTTTTTTTTTTTTTTAGTACTATCTATTGTTGGCAAGAAAAAATTTTGTGGCTCTTTAAAAACTTTGAAATTTGGTAAATTGTAATTTTTGACTCTTCCGACTCAAAAGGTTGCCGACCCCTGGTCTAGGCCTATTCCAAAACCTTACAAGCTAAGAAGACGTTTCTTACGGCACCTCAGCTTTTCTTAATTTCTCAAGAAAGAAGACGTCACCTACGGTACATGACACTTTCAGAGATTATCTCTTCCTGACTTCAAGACTCCTTTCGTCACCCCATCAGATTTTATAAAACCTGGATTGCGCTGCGATAATTTACGTGCCGAACTCACTTTGCTCGTGGAAACACGCGCACTCATTTTTTTTGTACTGTGTTTAATTAAAATAAACACCTTTCTTTAATCAAATCTACAGTAGAATTATTTTCAAAATGTCATCTTTTGTATTTACAGTTGACCGTTTGAGTTTAGCACTAAACCTGTTTCGCCATTTATATTCGTACAAAGTGATCATATAAAAATTAAGGTTATTTTAAAGAAATTTTAAAGAAATTAGTTTTCATACAAAATTATTAATTGCATGCGGATGGTTCTCAAAAACCGACAGCCCAAAAATAAGCCTTATTTTTCTGTTTCTTATAAAGAAAATTCTCCTTCAAATAACTAAATTAGACAAACTATTTGAAACTTGTTAATTTTTATTTATATATTTATTTTTATAAGGGACTGATCATTGGGAAACAAAGTATTGACCATAGTTAACAGCGTAGACGCTCTGTTAAGAGCGTAGAGTAGTCGAAACTGTTTGTTTACAGTCATGTTTTTTTACATTAGCACCTATCTCAAATTTGCACCTTTAAAAATTCGACTTTATTAAACATGCGACATTTATTGCTGTCGAAAAATACCTGACTATCTGTAAAAACTTTATTTTTGCAATTATCGAGCCTCATGGTCGATTTCGTAAATTATACATACATATATACCATTATATATACCATAATATATACCATTGATATTGTTTATATTCTTTTGTATTACATTATTTATTGTATAGCGATATATCATTGTACTACATATTACACAATATATTGTACAACATTATAACTAACAATGTCTATTACAATATACAAGGGAGCCATGTAAGCGGCGATACAGCGGGATAAAGACTGGTTTTATATGAAAAAATAATACATCGAAACTTTTTGAACGTTATTCATATCGAAAATATAAAATAAAATTTTGTTATTTGAAATTTCGTTTAAGAGAAAAACGGCTTTAAATATTGCCATTTTCTCTCTTACTCTTGCTTTATATGATTTTTGCGTTAGGCGGATGTAGTAATGCTTCGATCATAGCTAATTATTGTAAATATCGATATCCAAACGTGCCAATATGAGAGTTATTCAGGGAACAAAACGAACTTTATAGAACACGGTTATTTTGAACCGCTTAGTCGACTGTATAGGTCGCCATAAGTGAATTATTCTGATTGTGAGTGTTGAAGAAGGAATTTTGCAAAACGTAACGATACACCTGACACGATTATAAAATACCTTTCTTTGCAACATAATGTTAGTAAATGTACTGTTAGTCGCATACTAGGTAAGAATAAGCTGCATTTTTATTACATTTTTAGAATACAAGGACTTACAGTCTTACAGATTATGATAATCTTAAAGACTTACAGATTATGTTTCACAAACAGTATTTTGTCAATGACAATGCTATAAAAAATTTATAACGACACAATTTTTTAGAAGAATTTTAAGTACAAATGCAACAAAATTCCTGAGAGACGAAATGTTGACATTCATAATTTGTACCAAGGAGCATCTGAAAGCAGATTGTGTTGAAAAGTAAATTTCAAGTGAGGAGTTTGAATGTTGAATTAGAAGACTAAATTATAGAATTTTATTTCTTTCTTGATAGTGTAATGTCAGAATCATATTTTTACTTACTATGTGGCATACTGTTAGAATTTCGTACGATGTTGCGTATGCGATATGATTATCTACGATGTAGTCCCATCGTACATTAGTTGAGCAGTACGAAATTTTTTTAATGAAAAATACCAGTATTGGATCAGCTGCGATGGTAAAATTTCCGAATTTATTGTTATATGCCCACCGATGTAGCAGGTGGAAATACAACCGTGAGGAAAAAGCTTGGGTCCTAGTCCCGATTACAAGAGGTGCAAAGGAAATTAACTTGATTTGTGCTGATTAGATGAGTATAAAAATGTATATTTAACGAACTGACTGCAGTGGAGTAATTAATGAGAGTGTCGCCTCTTCGTTCGGTCTTGATCAGGGTTAGGAGTTTTGGCCTGAAGGGAAGGGAGATTCCTGGTAGGTAAGCAGGAAAGGACAGTCGAACCGTGGGAATAGGATTGTGCTGTTCTTGCATATTCTTATCATAAAGTTACACTTATGCTATTTGCTTATAATGAGATGATTGCAGTAATAATAATAGTAGTACGCATAATAATAATAATGATGATGATGATAAAAAAAATAATAATAATTATTATGATTATAATAATAACATTAATGACGACGGGAGGAGTAGGATATAACATTATCTTCACTGAATTTTTACTTGTGAAGATATGTTAAGTCTGTTGTGAAAAGTGATAGCACTTCAAATATTCAATAGTTATTTGAAAGAATTATTATTGCGTTCAGAACAATACAATTATATATGAAAAATCGTGGACAAAGTTTCCAGCAATTCGTAAGTTAAAAAAATTTCTGATTAATAACCACTTTCGTCTATCTTATCTTCTCACTTCAGAAATATGGATACATATAAATGCTTGCATAATAACTCGATTTATTTATATTAGTATAAATATGTTTAGAACGTTTATTAACAGTGAGCAGCTTTTGAAACGAAGTTTCAAATCAGAGAATCTTATTCTAAATATATTTTCTAAATATCTTTTCACGCAGAATTAGATCCTTTCTGGTTGTAACACCAATTGTGTAACATTTTGTATAAATGTAGCGATGAAGCGAACTGAATTCTAAAATGTTTTGTATGAAATAGTTATATTCGTTTCAGTAATTACTTCAAATAAATATTGATAAATTAAAAAAGAAGTACATTTAAATCACCAAGTGCTTTAGACATTTACATTATTAATGAAAATAAAATAGTTACAAAAAACAGTTTACTTACAAGAGTTAGAAAGTATAGAGGAAGCCTTAAAACAGTAAAATTTTTTGTAGAAAGATATTTTCATAAATTACAAAATTAACTTTGTGTTTTTGGAACAGCGACATTTTTTTACATGAGTAGATTTTTCAAAATATTCTATGACGGTAAAAAAGTATTACTGCAAAAAGGAAAGAATAAATAATTCATAAGATATTCAAAATTATATAACGTATAAGCAGTTTTTTAAGATTTTATTCTTTAGAGCTAACAATTTTTCTTATTCTTAGAACTAACCTTAAAATCTTCGAAAATATCACATTTACAAAAGAGTTATTGTTATTGTTATTTTTCTACGCACCATATTATTTTCATTAAACAACTTATAAGTATAGCACCATAAATATATGATGGATTTTTAATAGTCAATACAGTTATTTTTATTAAAAATACGCAAAATAAATTATTACAAAAAGACGCCGGGCGTCAACACCAACAGTTCTCAAAACACACAAACGCTGCACGGCAACCAAAAACAGAAAACGAAGGACCGCGAATTTTTTCATTTAAGAGTTTTAAAAGCGCGTAAATTCAAAACTCCAACACTCCCCCCAATTCGCGGGTCGATGCTACGCAATCCAAATTAACAATATACATTGTTTTACAAAACAGTCTTAAATTTCTAATTACATAATTTTAACAGTTCTATGCACTTTACATGTTCTAATCTTGGCAGTGATTTCTGCTGCCATGTCACTCGTAGGCTTATAACATACTTCAATATAACTCTAAGTAATTCTGACTGACTAATTCAGTCGACTGATTGAAAAACTAAGTATTCTGACCGACTGATTCGGTTGTCTAACTTATTCTGACCGACTGATCCGGTCACTGATTTTTCACGAACTTTACGATTGGAAAATCTTCGCTTCCTGGTCACCTTCCCTTCCAGTGCGCCCTTAGCGCGCTTCCCTGTGGAAGGGGAAGACGAAAACCAGAGTGGGCGAAAGTTAGACCCAAAGCGAAACTAAGAGTCCCAGGAAACTGTTTTTCGTCACTCCTTGAAACCCCTAGTCCCTGCCATAAATTAGGCCGTACCCTAACAATAACCTTTTTCCTGAGCCTCTCTTGAAAAATGAAATCTTATATCAATGTGCTTACTTCTAGCATGATAAACATTATTCATACACAACGAGATTGCACTCTGATTATCACAAAATATTCGCGTCTCTTTAAATACAAAGTTTGATTGCTTCATATATTTCAATAATTCTCGCAAATATACAATTTCTTTCGTTACTTCGGAAAGTGATATATATTCCGATTCCATTGTGGAAAGCGCGACGCATTTTTGCTTTCTGGTCGCCCAGCTTATTGGAGCACCAGCTAAAAACGTAACAAATCCAGAACACGAATGTCTATCGTCGAGGTTTCCACCCCAATCGGAATCTACATACGCTTGTAATAGTTCATTCGTCTTTTCATACTTAATACAATAATTAATTGTCCCTCGCAAATACCTTAATACATGTTTTGCCATTTTCCAGTGCATGATTCTCGGATTTTCACAAAATTGACATAAAAAGTTCGTCGCAAACATTATATCAGGTCTAGTTGTATTTGCTAAATACAATAAGCTCCCTACTAATTGCCGATAAGCTTTTTCCTTCATATCATCAATTTCTACATTTGTCAGTGGTTCCAAATCTTTCAATTGTTGATTTACTTTAGCTTCCAAAGGTGTACTCACTGTTTTACAATTGGTCATATTAAAACGCTCAAGTAAATCTTCTATATATATACTTTGATTTAACCTTATGCTTCCTTTTTGACCTTGTCTTTCAACACATATACCCAATATAGTTTTAACTGGTCCTAAATCTTTCATTTCGAATTGCTTTTT